TGCTCATTCACCTGAACTGCAAGATGCGCAGCAAGTAAATTTGATAAATGCATAAATACATTGTGTGAGTTGGAATCGCCTTTACAATCACACACTTGAGCATCTGAAGACTAGAAATAATTGAATAACTTTAAGTTAGATCTAGAACTTGAAGTTAAAAACGGTTTGCCTTGAACTCAGCCTGGAGACGATGCTGGTGACCTCAGCATCACGAGGGGAGGGGCTGTGCAGGTCGTACCTGATTCGGGTCATGACCCAGAGACATCTGCATTACCTGGGGTTTCTTTACTTTGGTGATGTCACTGATTAAACAGACAAGCTGCTGCTAAAGTTGGCCTACGCTACTCCTGCTGCTGCCAGCGCCGTGGCAGTGCAGAAACATGCAACCATCTGTTCTTTGCTTTCTTCCATTTGTCATTTCTTGATGTTAACGCAAAGCGATGCTGGGCCCAGGGAGCACTACGTGCCTTTCCCTGTCACAGCACCTGGGGAGACAGTTCTTGCCAGACAATAATTAAATTTCTTCTCACCCAGTCAGCTGTGCTCATTTCAGCATAAACTCTAGGATGAGGGATTGGAAGGAGCTGTGGAAAACAAGGGCTCTGTCGAGTAAGTCCTGATTCTGTCATTTTGACTAATGCGTGACTTTTCATAGCTTTTCACTGAATGTCAAGTCATTTCATTCAAAAATGCGTTAACATGCAGAGTAGGAAGCTACCTTCCTCACTCAGGTCATTGCACTGTCACTCTCAACATTGCCTGCTTTGACGTGACATCAGCAGCCGTCAAGGAGAGGACCTGTCTAGCTCTGCTGCTTGAAGTTGGTTGAAGAGGAGGCAGGGCCCCTCTGAGAGGACCCAGCATCAGAGCTGCAGGATAGCCTTCCTCTCATCCACCGGTTTCCTGCAGCTCCACTCCTTGACTCTCCGTGGAGCGAGAAAGATGAGGCTGGTCATGTCACAGCATTTGACCTTCTCATGTTGACTAGGAAAGCTCTTTTTATCTGTGGCAGCTACGAACTGTGACATTGGGCAATAGTTGCACAGAGATGCTGTCAGAATATGGTCTGAGCATTTTAAACAACAACAAAAGAAAAGGCATTTGGGGGAAAGTGGAGTCCTACAGAGAAACAGAAGAGAAGTGGATTCATCTCAGTCTCCAAGTGCTTTTGCTATTCACCAGTAGAATCTCCATCTTGTTTGGATTTAATGTCCGCTTGTCCCCGCTCATCTAGCCCATTCAACTGCTTCTGTGGAGTTATGTAGTAGGGCTGAACAGAGCTTGTTCTCAGAGGTCTACTCTGAATGACTTCACCCTACAGTTTCTGGTAGAGGTGAAATGCCTTTGGGGACAAAGATATGAATTTGCAAGACATCAAAAGATGACAGGAACAAACAACTTGAAAGCAGACTAGTCTGTTACTATTCCAAGCATTCTTAATAGCTTTTATTTATTTTTATTCAATTTACTTATCAGAGATCTTGAAATCCTGTTTGTGCAAATCCAATTCTAGTATCAGAAAGGAGAAATTGACAATGGGCCAACCACCTACATTGTTTGAAGTCTTCCGGCACCATCTTCTATGTGGCCCCTGAAGGAAGGACCAGAACCGCCACACAGCTATGACCCCTGGCCCATCACTGACAAGTGGTCCCGAAAGATGCTGAGGCCCATGAGGCTGAAAGCAATAAGAATCTGGGAGGTCAAACAGAATCAGATTCCCCACCATCTATTTGCCAGAATAAATCACCTGCGCAAATGATTAAAGCAGTCCAAAATCCAAGTAAAGCACTGATTGAAATAGATCCAGACCATCAGCTATTCAAATGCAGCTAAATAGGCTGCCATTTTCACATAAATGGAGGATGTAAGGCTAGCGTATAATTGCAGTGGTCGTCCAGAACCATGAAGCGCTTTTTTGTGGTTTAATTGCCTTGTTTGATTGTCTGTGGAGGCCTTAATCATCTTCTGTAGCCATGAGACCGGAGAGGGGGAAGAAGGTTTAAGCCAAGGAGCCAAACGGAGGTGACTGAGGTGCAAAGAGCAAGAGGAACGGAGAGCCTCCAACCATTCAAGCTTCCCTCACACGGGGTGCAGCACCTCCTGCACTTGGTTGCTCTCCGTTCTCTGGTAAAACAAGGCGCTCCCTGAGCCACGTTGAAGGAAGAGCAAGGGATGAGGCCGCCCTTCCTGGCCATCTCTGGGTGCAGCAAAAGGGGTGGGGCTTAAACGGAATGGCCCACAGATGAGGGAGGAAATTCTGGGACCATCAAGTGCCTGGGTTGGACCATTTTAACTAATCGACATGTCGATTATAGCTTATGTTTTACAGGTAATCCTCGACTTATGACCACAATTGAGCCCAAAATTTCTGTTGTTAAGTGAGACATTTGTTAAGTGAGTTTAGCTCCATTTTACACCTTTTTTGCCACAGTTGTATGAATCACTGCAGTTGCTAAGTTAGTAACACAATTGTTCTGTGAATCTGACTTCCCCACTGACTTTGCTTGTCAGAAGGTCACAAATGACTCCAGGACATGTAACGGTCATAAATATGAGTCAGTTGCCAAGCATCAGAATTTAGATCACATGACCATGGGGATGCTGCAACGGTCTTAATTGTGAAAAGCTGCCATAAGTCATTTTTTTCACTGCCCTTGTAACTTCAAACGGTCACTAAACGAACTTCTGTAAGTGGAGGACTTCCTGTAACCTCACCTCCCTCTGAAATTCCCCAGCCCCTGAGGAAGGCCCGTGTTTGGGTGAGCCTCCCGTCTCTGGAGGGCTGTGCAGTTGTGTGCTGAGGCGGCCCTTCTCCTTCCGTCTGAAAAGGGGAGAGGCCCCCTTCTTCTCTCAAGACAGGGATGCCTGTATCTTATGGAACAAATTCCAGGCATTGTAAGATATTATAGCCCACCCCCATCCTCTCCCAAAAATCATAATTAGCTGTCCTGAGATCTCATAAAGGATGCAATATTTGTGAGTCCATAATATAAATTCACACACAGGGCTGGTTCTTGCAAAAATCTCCCTTATAACTAGATAATTTAAATAATTTGTTGCAAGCAGCTGCCTCCAGTTTTTGGAGCTGGGGCTCTGATGAAACCATCCTCCACATTAAGGGCCCTTGGATGCTAATTGAGGGAAGCATGTTCCTCCAAAGCTGATCATTTGTCTTCATCATCTCTGACCATCCTTGAGTGCCCTGACAGGAATCTCTGTTTGGAAGATAATAGGAACCACGATTGCTGAGAGGGAATCTAATGCTTCATCAGCCTTTGGGAGCAATTTGTATTCATTAATGTTCTCGCAGATTAACTTTCCCTGATTAATAGATGAGCGTTGTAGGCACCAGGGCTGTCCTGCTTGAGCTGCGTTGATAAATCAGCCCTGACTGTCATCAAAGACTAATAGAACGGAAGCCTCACAGTCGCCCATCGCCTCATCTCCTTTCGTCGTCATCGTGTTCTTTCCCACTGACTGCCCGAAGCAGGTCAGGGAAGAAGCTTTGGGTCATCAGCCAAACCAACTCATCGCTCTCCTTCAGACGGTGGGATAGGGCATCCAGAGCCCGTGAATACATGCATTAGGTAGAAGGAAGATTTGGTTCTCCCTTCTTCAAATTCATAGGGTGTACCAAAAATCAGGCCCAGAGGCCAACAGACGGTCTAAAGGAGCCCCTCACAAAAGAATTTGCAAATGTCAGAGAACAAGTTGTTCTTCTAGGGATGTTCAAAGGTCAAACGAGTGAGGACCTTTTGAGAAAGAAATGGCAACCCGTTCAAACATTTAATGTAATCTTTATAATAAATTGTCTATTTTTATTTATTTATTATCAAACTTCTATGGCGCCCATCTCACCAAGTGTATTGTTTTACAAAATGAAACATATAGCAGTGTATGTTGTATTTAAATTTATGTGGTAAGCAGTTGATAATCCTTGAATTATGAAAAAAAAGCAATATGTTGCTATTTGTTAAAACCAAAATAACTATAATTTACAGTTTTGTAAATTACACTTTGGGGTCTGTTCTGATGAACTTCTCCGTTCATCCCAGAAAATAAATCAAAGGAAGGAACAACATCTGCAGGCATGGATTGCCCTCCTCTGTCTAATGGACCTTACTCCTGTTAAATAAAAATCAATATTTCTCACATACCTTGAGCATCCCAATCAACCAGTTTCCTGTCTCCCATCATCTCTTTTGTCTTTTGTTAAGGTTAACACTGAGTGCTGACAGTTCTTCTGGAACCCACCCACCCCTGTGTGGGATATTGAGGGCCAATGGGAGGTCTCTCCTCCTGCTGCTCGGGGGAGGGTCAGAGGAACACAGGGGCCCAGCCAAGGAAGGGCCAGCACACGCCCTCCCCACAAGTAAACTTTGGCTAGGTCTGGTTACGTCCTCCTGTGCCCAACTACAATATGAGAACAAGACAAAGGACAGTGGACAAGAGTTCCTGCTATTTGTCTCTATCCTGGTTTTATCCAAAATGGTTTTTTTTCTTTTTAACATACCAGTTTTCCATGGTTTGTCAGACACTGAAATATCCACCACGCATAGAAGACCTGCCTCAGAAAAGACTCGAGTATTCTTGAGCACAAAGGTTTCACAGATGTAATTGATCCAGAAGATCTTTTTGTTTTGGAGAACCCACAAGAACAGCATTCTTCCTCAAAGCATTTGCGTGTCCTGGGGCCCCATGCCAAGGAAATGCATGCAACGTTGCCTGTGTTTTTGCAAAAGGGGCCGTGCGCAATGGTGCAAAATGGGAGAAGGAGGAGATATTTGAAGGGCTGTCTGTATTTCAGCTCAGATTGTTGGGGTGTGGGAGGCTGTCACTGGGTTAACTGTCTGGGCGCTCACAGTTCTGATTAGGGAAGGAAGGCTGAAAAGACAGCAAAGAGCCTTTGGTATAAAAGCAATTGCAATGGGAAGATAAGGGGTGTGTGTGAAATTCAGATATTTGCATAATGACGGGATTGTTGTGTCTTCTAACAGAAAACACAGAAACTTTCAACCTGGGTGACATGTACATGAAGGCTAATCAAAATGAGTTCTTGTCCATTCTCATCCTGGTTTTGCCTGGTGTGGGAACTAAGGAAACAGTCTACCATATGCCTGCCCTGAAGAATCTTAAAATATGTATTGTTGCTGGCAAGGAAACGATAAAGGAACATAATTAGGCAATGATGACCCCAAAACAAACATAGATTCTTTCCTGGATGCCACAAGCCATCTGTGCTTGCCTGATGTTTATAGAATCTTCATTAGTGGAGAGCCTCAATAGATAAGAGGCTCAACTGGAACATCAATGGCTGAGATAAGGGCAAGTGCACAACCAATCTGAGGATTCACAAGGGGCTGGGAAAAAAAACCCCCCCACACACACAGCAGAAACACAGCTTTAGAAAGTGACAGGCCTTTTTTTTTAATTCACTGCATGTTCTTTAGACTTCATCAGACAAAACTTTGCTGTTCTGGATCATTTGTTTTCCCCCAGCCCTGGAAACTTAACAACATGTTATATTTTGGTGCCTGGACTCTTCTGTACGCCATCCTCGTTGTCCTGCAAAGTGAAACCCTCATGGGAAACCAGCCCAGCTTACCCACAAAGGAGAATTCTCACAAATCTTCTGGTGAACTTGGAAATGTGGAGGGAGAGGCCTATTTCGACTTTAAGGCTTTTCTGGAGAACCTGAAAGCTGATTTTTTAAGGAACTTGAACTTATCGGCAATACCTTCACAAGAAAAGCTCAAAGAGGAACCACCCCAGTTCATGATTGATTTATATAACAGATACAGCCAGGACAAGTCCTCCAGTCCCATTGCTAACGTTGTGCGCAGCTTCAGACCTGAAGGTATGAGTAGTTTTCAATGGGTGAGGTAGAGTTTTTTGAGGCGACAATTGGGATCCCAAATTCCATTGGAACAGGTTTTTTTTTTAAATTCTCCACTTGTTTTGTTTTATAATGTAAGATATAAAGAAGGACGTTTTAAAAAAGAAAAATGAAGGCACCGATAAATTATCAATGTAATTTGCATCAATTTCTCAGACCAATGTTAGTACTTCTATAGTTCTTTTAAAGTGCAGGTATACAGTTCTGCTAGCATACAATGCAGCTCTGAATAATCTCTGGGTATTCTAGAAATCTCAGGAACCATGAACATTTGTCAGAGGGTGTGTTTGTGTGTGTGTGTGTGTGTGTGCTGGAGATCCTGAAATCAAAAGAAAACTCACGCCATTTCATTTCCTCCTGACCTCCAGGTTCTCCTGAGCCAAAATTGTCCAGCTTTGATCATGGCCCGATGCTTCGGGATCTTTCTCTTTACTCTGGTTCAACTATAGATTAGTCTTGGCTATCAGCCGCCTCCTTTTCAATATTGCCAGGTGGAGTAAAATGTTTTCAGCTTTGCTCCAGGAGGAAGAGGTCTTTAAGTACTAAATTAAAAAAAAAAAAAGCTAGAACAAATGTTAGGATGGTATTATCTGGTTGTAATTGCTGTTTCAGAGGAGATTCAGAAACAGGTCAATTGACCTAAAGCCGAGGACAAAGGCAAGCAGGCTTTGAGAGCCCATCTCCCCAACCTAGAAGAACGCGCCATTAATTATGTGCTTATTTACTAATTTGTTTGGCTTCGTGGAAGAAGTCCCAACCCTGCTCATCACCAAAGGTTGGTCAACATGGAACTCTTCTGAAAGGCAGTTAATTAACTGATCAGTTAACACAGAGCCATCCAAATGTTACAAGGGGTTTAAAAATGTAATAAACACATAAGTAAGTTTATATGGAAGATGAAAAAGTTGGCAAATCTCCCATTCCCCCTTAGATAATTGGCCCCTCCCTGTGTCCCACCAACTCAAAGTCACAGATAAAATATTGAACACATCATCAACAAAAATACAAAACTCAACACTCACACATTTAGGCAAAGAAACCAGCTAATGTCTCCAATCTCTTTTGATAAACATAGATCTGGAGCCCATATAAGGTTCTAAAGTTTCTAAGAAGCCTTTAAGAGGATTTTTTTTAAAATAAAAAGTCTACCCACTTTAATCTTTTCCTTTTGCCTACAGCAGATTTTTAGGCTGATAACTTTCCCAGTTGATACTAATCATTCAACCAAAACAGTGCAAATCGCCCATTCTCTGAAGTTTTCCTAATCTCTTTTTAGACAGAGCAAGTCTAGTGAAATGTTCAGTGTTGGTTTAGAACAGTGTTTCTCAACCTTGACAATTTTAAGGCATGTGGACTTCAACTCCCAGAATTCCACAGCCAGCATTGCTGGCTATGGAATTCTGGGAGTTGAAGTCTACATGCCTTAAAATTGTCAAGGTTGAGAAACACTGGTTTAGAACCAAGGAAAGCCAGGTCTGAGCCTCCCCCCCTCATCCAGAAGGGGTTGAATCTGTCTGAATATGCTTTTCCGTAATAGTTAAAGTAGCTCTATTATGAGTTAAAGCACAGCCAATACAATCAATTTAGTGTGTGTGTGTGTGTGTGTGTGTGTGTGTGTGTGTGTGTGTGTGTGTGTGTAAATTATATTCCACTTTCATTTTACAGCCACTCTGAGGGGTGAGTTGGGCTAAGAAAGAAGGATGGACCAAAATCACAAAACCAGCTTCCATACCTAAAACTCTCTCCCAGTTGCTACCACCTGAACCGCTATAGCCATTCATCTCAATCAATGATTCCAGGCAGTTTACAATATGCTGGAAAATATGCCTACTTCCCCATATTATTATTACCTTTCACTTATATAGGCATAATTTAATTGCTTTACTTTGTTTCATATTAGCATTTTAGTAATATTGGTAATGAAATGTTGAAGTTTCAGCATTGGACATATTTCCTAATATTCAGGTTTGCATTCCTTTCTGTGCTAGAGAAAGTCAATTATCATTATAACAGTGTTTATCATTTTCTCCATCAGATATTTCTTCTTTCTCTTCACTGGAAATAAATCAGAAATACCTCTTTCTCTTCAACGTTTCCATCCCATGGCATGAAGAAGTCACTAAAGCTGAGCTGAGGATCCACATTGCATGTCAGAAAGAGGCCGAGTGCTTTCCTCATGTTCATGGGAACGTAGTAATTTATGACATGCATGAAGGAGATAAAGGGGAGGAAGTAGAGGGCGTAAAGAACTTCCTCGCCTCCAGAGAAATCCAGGGATGTGGCTGGGTGACATTTGATGTGTCCAGCACTGTGAAAAAATGGGTCAAGGCAGAAAAGACCAGGACTGTCAACCGGTTGGAAACCGCCATGAAGAGCTATGATCCAAGTGATTTCAACTGTGGGCATCTGAACATCAGTGTGGCTCCTGACTCAAACCATCTGCCCTCCCTGATAGTGTTTTCTAATGATCACGGCAAGACGGTCAAAGCAAACCATGCAGAGCTCCAGGAAATGGTGGCACATGAACAGGAGGATGTGCTGAAGAGTTTAGCGAAGGACCATGCTGCCCACAGGCGGAATTCTTGGCCTGTCCACGGGACCCACCACTCCCTGTCAAGAAGCAAGCGAAGTACTGAGCTCAACCATTGCCGGAAAACAGCCCTCCATGTGAATTTTAAAGAAATTGGCTGGAACTGGATCATTGCTCCTCCAGATTACGAGGCTTTTCAATGTAAAGGGGGCTGCTTCTATCCTCTGACTGACAATGTTACCCCAACCAAACATGCAATTGTCCAGACCTTGGTCCACTACAAAAACCCCAAGAAAGCTGTCAAGGCCTGTTGTGTTCCCACGAAGCTGGAAGCAATCTCCATGCTTTATAAAGATGAGGCCGGAACCCCCACCCTGAAATACGAATACGAAGGGATGAAAGTAGCCGAATGTGGCTGCCGGTAGTATGAGAGGACCTCGCATTCATAATTTAAACATAAAGTTGTGAGTGCAGCCCTTTCTCCCTGAATTTCTCATAGAATGGCACTTGTTGTAAATCAGTGACTAAGAATGGAACCATTAATTTCTAGACCGAATCTCTCTTACCTACATAGCTCTTTCTCCCCCTGCAATATTTCCTTTATATACTTACTGTATATTTTTAGGAAGATATCATTAAAAGAACCTCTATCTGTGCCCATCAACTGTACTGTAAATATTTGTGGGGTCTTATTGACTGCAGGAGCTATTTCCAGAAGATGAACCGCTGATGACCGTATGCGCGGTTGCAGGAGTTCTTTTGACTATTGTGCCAATATCACGTATGTTTACAGAACTGTAGTTTTTTTCTCCAGCCCCCAAAGGGTGGGTGTTTTTTTCACATTTCCATCATAGAAAAAACATTTAGAAGGAAAGCATTATGAAATACTTTTCTAGTAGTGTAATTATTTTCCAAGCAGTGAAAAAATGTTTTAAAATGATATTGAAATCTGACTACTATAAAGATTACTAAAGTACAATATGCAATGTGTAAACAACTTTGATACATGAAATGCATTCTGGGTGCTTCCTTTATCCCAAATTGACTTCAATTTGTTATCTCTATTCTAAAACTCACCATAGATTTGGTAGGATTGGCATCCTCACCCACCTGCCATAGAGAAGACACCAGAAGTAGGTAGAAAAGAAGGAAGTTAGGATAGGGCTGCAAACAAGTTGTTGTTTCATGTAATAAACCTTATCTAGATTGTGGGATTCAGCACTCTAAAATGTCATATTTTTCAACTATGAATTTTCGTTGGGTCAAAAAGGTACAAAGGATAGGAGTAACCAGGCCCCAAAGATGTCAGGGCCGGGTAAGAAGGGACCCAACATTCAGAGTCCCTAAAAATAACTCAATAAAGAAATGAATAAAAACGGAGTAATGAAATAACACTAAATGACTATTTTAGAGAAAGGGCTAGTCCATTGTCACAAGGAGAGAAATAAACAAAATAAATGGAAGCTTTATGAGTGTCACTTGTCACATTTACCTCAAATATGAGCAGTTCTAAAAGAAACATTAAAGGACCAGCCCCAAATGGGCACGTTATCTGAGCGATTCGTTCCACAGAACAATTTTTGTGGTCTCCAGATATGAAAGAGAAATCGTATAAACTTTGTTGGGGGGGAAAAGGACTTTACTAATCATCTAAAGTCCCATCTGAAAAAAGTATAAGATCTCCCTGGCCATCAGGTTCTTCTGCTCTGCCAAGATGAGTACGGAAAACAGCAATTCCATCCACTGAATCCCTCTC